TAAAGTGCATCACCTCGTCATTGGTGATGCGAGATAATACTTCACTCTGTTAAGTGAAGTAGTCAACCCCGACTATCAAAAAACTTTTTCCATCCTTTTGATGAAATGGACCTTCTAAGCCAATACACTTCCGACCGTTGCAGCGTCCATCTCTTTTTGCAGATTTTTGGCAAAAGAACTTTCTCCTTCCATCTCAACGCTTTAGCTCAGATTCGATCACCCTTGTGCCGAAAAGCATGACAAATGATGATTGTTTTCCCATAGACGGTCGTCGGATCATGTGACGTAAGCATGATGTTATCGTGGATCTCCCCATGTTAGCCTGGAGTGCTACCAGAATCATGATCGCCCTCCGTTCCCGCAATAATAAAAGGGATTTTCTGGCGTAGAAGCTCCAACGATCAAGTTAAATTATATTTATATGTAGAAACGGTCAGGGGTCGGGTCAGGCCCGGGTCCGGGTCCAACTTTTAGGGGACCCGAAACCAATCTACGGGAGGCAGGTCCGGGTCCGGGGCGAGTCCATCCGGGTCCAGACCGAGTCCGGGTCAAGTCCGGGTCCAAACCGGTTTTTCATAACAAAAAAAAAAAAGGAATTCTCTTTTTTTTCTTTTCTTTTCTAAACAATTACAAGAAAGAAAAAAAAAATTGAAACTTGAAAAATTGATCCGCTCCATACAGTAATGAAACATTGGCTTCGCCACTATATAAACGATATATTAAATAGTGGTTTTCATTTTTCGAATTCAAGTGTGCAATTATTTAGTTCTTCAAAATATTAGTGTTTCCGATTAAAACAAATTTAGAAGATGATGCGTTTGAAGTTGTGACAGATGAGGATACAAATCAGAATTTATTTTACAATAATATTCAATTGCATATTCAATAGTTTAGTTGTTGGACAACAATTAGGAAGTGCCTAAGGCCAAATGGATTATAGTACTTTGAATTATGTGATATTTGTGTAGTCATATTTGTCTTGTGTTTTTTGAATTCAATGTGTTACATTTCAAAACCTAATCACACGAAGAGGTGAGGTTAAATTTGGCCAATACAAAATTACATCATCATTATCAATGTTCAATGTACATTGCTTGTTCTAATTGCTGCTTATTATGGAATTAATAAGTCTTTTATCTGATAGAATCCAATTTAATATCATCATCAATGTAAATTACTTGTTCTAATTGCTGCGTATTATGGAATTAATAAGTCTTTTATTTGAGATAATCCAATTTAATATCAGGAAAAGAGTAGTTTAATATTATATACTATCAATTTATCGAAATCTTCGACATCCTTTTACAGTATAAAAATTGCATGAAACACGCATAGACATACAAACACATAGGAGAAATGGATGTACCTCGTATTCATAATGTTTTGGTAATAATTTTTATGATGATTGGATTTGCAGTAATGGAGATCGACATAGCTTTGGGCCAACATCCAAAATCTCCCGGCATTGTGTCGCGTTGTGTGGGTATAACCAATTTCATCATACATTGTTCATTTTACATATCCAAAATATATCCTTATTATATGTTCTATAAACCAAATGAAAGATGTTGTCGTTATGCCCGAAAGACGGACATACAACTCTTTTGCAAAAAATTCTTGACCGGCGGCAAAGATATTATATATTATTCCAATAAAGTGGTAGATCTTGCAGATTATTGTGGCAATCCAGTTCCACGTGGTTTCAAATGTGGAAGTAAGTATCAACTTCTTATTGAAAATGCTTTTGCATAACTACAATGAATTTTATATCGATTTAATGTTAATTCTAGTTAAATAAGTTGGAAATATTTACCAATTATTTTGACTTTTGAGTTTTGACATTGATTTAATATAATGCAGATTATATCTCTCAACTGTCCATGAAGTGAATGAAAACTCGCAAGCAGCGCAAATTCAAATACTAAAAAGTTACATATATTATATATAGCTATTGGTCCTTTGTAATAATTTATAAAATAATTGAAATATTTGTTTGATGGTTAGACCACCACCATCGTGTCTCTATTGTTATATATACAAAGATAAATAAAATCTTATTTTTACTGATCATCATTCTACTTTAAATACACCTTCTTGCTTAATTAATCCAACAGTTGTGTCGGACGAACACTAAACTTAACGAATTTTCATGTAGTAATTTTATCTTTTATTACGAAGGTGAAATAATAGTAGAAGATCTTGTAAATGTCCGTTCCATATAAGGGGTACGAGCAACACGGGCTTCTCGAAAAATGGCTTTTGAAGGCGGTGATGAATGTGTTTAGGGAAGAACTCTAAATTGGCATGCATCGACGAGCTTTGGATTATCTTATGTTTATGTCTCCATGAAGATATATATTATGCCGTCTTCGTTATTCGATCTCCGTTTCACATGTATGTGTATGTAAAATGAAATAGCTGGCATCAGAAGCAGCAAAATAACTAATCTGACCGGTGTTTTAAAGTCAGACCAGCTGCCGGTTGAACCGGGGTTGAATCGGTTAAACTGCGAACCGTTGTTGCCTTGCCCGGTCCTGTTAGGCCGGTTGGTCCGTAAAATCGACACTCGACTGAAAATTAGGGTTTTAGCCCAAAATTGTTTTATATTTAATGAAAAAGATAAAACAATAAAATGGCTAAAACCACTTATTTTTATTGTTTAGTTGAATTTTTTTTAGTGCAAGTTGCATGTCACCCCCTATATTTTTCTATTTTCACACTTTACCCTCTCAAAATTTAAAAAAGTTAATGCCCCGTTCAAAATGTTATATATATTTGTTGCACATTGCCCAAAAAACAAAATTCTCATAGATTATTAACCGTAACTGTGTTTTTTTTTTTTTCACGTTGCCCCTTTAAATGTTATTTTTATTGCACATTGTCTCTTACATGTATTATTACCCTTCAAAATGCCCACCGAAAATTAACTTTTGGGGCAAAGTGCATCCAAAACAATATTTCGAGGAGGGGTTATCTATTTTCTGAATATTTAGGGGTGAAAATGCCAATATGGGAAATTTATAGGGGGTGAAGTGCAATTTATCTTTTTTTTTTTTTTTTAATTCAAAATAGAAAACTTCAAAATGAGAAAACATATTATTTTGGATTATAATTTTATAAGATATGAAGTGATTGGTTTGTGATAAAAAGTAGGGTTGCTTATTGTGGAGGGCAATCAATTTGTAGAGGGACGTTTCTTGCACTGGATAACAGTATACATAAAGCATCCCTAAAGTTCAATATATAACTTCTTCAATAAATTTGAAAATATATATTATTTTTCTTCTAACACTTTCCAGATATTGCTTAATTTTCTAATTAATAAATATTAAAAAAAATAAAAATAAAAATAATTGGTCCTGTTTTCCTCATTCTCAACATGCCGATTAATTAATCATTTATTACAATATTAAAAGCGTTATCAGAAATCGGGGTTTTGCTTAAACCAGACTTCACTTTTTTTATACATAAGCAAAGCAACACAAATAAATTGTTTATAATATTTTTCATGCAACGTGTTTAGCACTGATTGTTCAGTTGGGCCCACCCCGTGGAAAATTCAAGCAAAATAAAATGATTAATAATGTGTAGATACATTTACCCCGTTTTGTTCGTTAATTACTAACGTCTGTTTCCGTTAGAAATAAATTTAAATAATTAAAAATTAATTAAAGGAATTGTCGGTCTAATAGATCTTATGGTGTAATATAATACACCAGTTGGTGTTTACCTTTGATTTATAACTATGTAGCACGAACATGAAAATTGCGATATTCATGAAAAACAGACATAGGAAAACGATATATCCAAAAAATGGAAACGAAAATTTGGGGAAAACATATAATAAATAGTAAAAGTATTGCTATATAAACATATATAAGTTTTACATATATATTTTTATACATAAATATATTCAAAATAAATATTATTGTCAATTATCAATTGGAAATTGATCATTAATTCATATAATTAATTAGGTAAGCAATAAAAGTATTTGAGAATTCGTTATTCAAACATGTTTCTAATTTTTCAGAAATTGCGAAATATTGGCTCATAAGGTGTCCGACATGTGTCCTCAAGTAGTGTCGCATACGAAATGTATTCGAAACGCGGAAACGTTCAGAAATTGTGATTTCCGTGCCACAAAGATTTACACACAATCACACATATACATATCGATTTATGTAAAATATCAATGAATCTATACACGTGTAAAATTTTGTATAATTCGGTGAAAAATAAAACAAGTGTAGCAACATGAATAGCTACTAGTGTTATATATCTCATATACATTCCATTTTATTAATATATAATTAAAAAACAAATAATTGTGGCTTATTATTATATTAGACCTCGTATATTTTTTTTAATCTAGAAAAAAATAAATCTTAACGATATATAAGTTGTCATCTCATGTAAATGAAATCTTGATTTTTGACATGTTAAATAGAATGTACTACATAGTTCAAATGAAATCTTAACTTTTCATTTGTTATCTTATATATCTTTTCTTCACAAAAAGTAAATTGAGTTTCATCATATCATATTAATTAATTAATTCAACGAGAGATACATATTTTCCCAATGTGATTAATTATCTTTTTGACCCATCAACCCTTTTTTTCTTTTTCTCCCTTTCTTGCCTCTTTCACAAATTTTAATCATGAATTTCCATTTACTGCACTCCCTTTTTTTCTTTTTCTTTTTTTTTTATAATTAATTTATAACTATATTTCATATGATGTGAAAGCTAAAAAAGCGTGAATGTTGTGGCAAGTTCTCAATGGGGCATTTTATGT